TGCTTAAAATACTCATACAATAAAGTTTAATTTAATTGTAGTATATATGGTTTTACTTAAACACTTAGTGATGCTTGCTTAAAATACTCATACAATAAAGTTTCATTTAATTGTAGTATATATGGTTTTACTTAAACACTTAGTGATGCTTGCCTAAAATACTCATACAATAAAGTTTCATTTAATTGTAGTGTATATGGTTTTACTTAAACACTTAGTGATGCTTGCCTAAAATACTCATACAATAAAGTTTCATTTAATTGTAGTGTATATGGTTTTACTTAAACACTTAGTGATGCTTACCTAAAATACTCATACAATAAAGTTTCATTTAATTGTAGTGTATATGGTTTTAATTAAACGCTCAATGGAATTTCAACAGTTTGCTCGTACAACCGTTGAAAAATTACCAATAATTTATCAGGAAATTGAAATGGATGTAATATTTAAAGTTAATGATATAACTGCTGCTATCCAAGATCAGGTTTTTCTAAAATTAATTAAATAAGAAAGCTAAATTTTAGAAAGTATTCTTTTTTTTGTGGAATCACTTAAATTTATTTGAACAAATGAAATACAATGTTTGAAAACCTGAGAATATTAAAAAATAACGTAATTTTTAACCTTTAAACATATATTTTTTTTAACATTTTTAACATTTAAATACATATATTTTGATACTGTAATAACATTTGATACTGTAAAAATATTAGATACTGTAATAATGTTTAACATAGTAAAAATATTTGCTACAAAAATAGTATACCAATGAACTATCCAATTGTTTCATTATTTGAGAATGATCGTATTTTTAGGTACCAATACCTGAAATAGTAATAGCAAAAATGTCATATTGTAGTAGAATCATAGAATATCTTTAAAGTTAAAAATTTTCATAAATTAAAAAAAAAAATGACAACACTTTTTTTTTTAAAGACATCAATACCTGAAAATATGAATTTTCATCGTTTCTTTATAACATTTTCATGGGGTATAATTATACTTATCGGTTATTATCTTATGTATTTTCAAGGTTATCATTAATTTGTTTAATAATTTTGTTTGATTAAATTTTTTTTTAATGGTATATTTAAAAAAAAAAAAAAACAATGGAACAACGAATAATGAAACTGATAATTGATATAACATACAATTTATCAATTATCACTTTCATTATTCAAAAATGATAATATGAATAATTGATTTAAAATATATGATTATGATTTGATAAAAAAAAAAAATATGAATAGGATGTATTTAAAACTTTTTAATTTTTTTCAAAATAAAATTTATCTTACTTAATTCTTCTCATACATTTCTATAGGATTAATTCAAATGTTTATAAAATATTTTAAAGGATCAATAATTTTACCATTACTTTTGGATTTTATTATTGACACATCATCAGCTATACTACTTGCTTATATCATTATACCAGCAATACTCTATTTTAATTTATCAAAATATGATGAATATAGTCGGAAATCACGATTCATCTTGCTTCTTGCTGGTTTATTTCAAGTATTTCAAAATTTTAAATATTTCTTAAAACGATCTTTTCAGCCAATTTAATTATTCAATACTAAATGAAAATTAATTAAGCAGAATTTAAAATTCGGAAAATAATTTTAAATCAATTTGATTATTCATTACTTAGATATATGATTGCTATGTAAATAAGTTGAAGTAATGAAGTAAAAATTAGAATTTAATAAATAATTCCAAAATCTTATCCATTACTTAAAACAAATTTGATAAATAATTCATTTTTTCTTTTCACCCAAAATTTTCAGGGTTTATTAGTAGGTTTTGTATTGAGTAATTGTTCAACAACAATTATTTTACCAGTTGAAATTATTAATATGTTTTTTGTCACAGTAATTTCACGAATTTTGGGTCATAAACTTCATAATGATCGACAAGCATATTTTGGTATCATTAATGGTATTGGATTTATTGTAAGTTAATAAATAAAATTAAATAAAAGAAAAAAAAGGAAGTTTTCATATATATTCTTCGATATAAATATATGATTAGTTTTTGAATATTTTCAATTTAGTCTTTTTTTTAATTTTAATTTTTTTCAATTTAATAATAAATATTTTTGCTTCGTTTCTATTTGTTTGCATAATTATTTCATGTAATTTCAACAAATTGTGCTAATATTGAGAAAAATGAAATTCTTTAAGAAATAAATAATGTCAATAGTTTAAGTGTAATTTATTTCATAAAAAATTTCAGTTCCTCATCATTATTGGATATATTATACGACATTTAACTAAGGCTTATTTATTTACAACTATTTTAACTGTTCTTACATCACATGTTATCATACAAATTTACATGCGTCGAGTTATGCAGGTGAGATGAAATTAAAAGCTATTAATATAATTTCAAGTAAAATGAATGATTAAATTATCATTAAAATAGGTATGGATTAATGATATGGTATTTTTTTTTTTTATAAAGGTGCATTATCATCATAATTATTATGGTTAGGCTTTCGTAAATGAAAATTAGGGAAAAAGCTATTCTACCTATGCTTGTTGTAAAAGTTTAAAAATATGAATGTATACCTTGTAAGCATACACAGTGAATTTTCCTATTAACATTATACACTAAAATTGGTCCCATTCCTTACTTCTAAAGCTCATTTATCAGAGCCTAGCAAACTAGCATGATGACAGCGAATTTTTTAGGATATAGATTTTTACATAGAGTATCCTTTTTCCTACATGATTAGTCTTGCAAAGGATGGTTGATGGTAGGCTAAAGAGCCCATCCCATCAGTGGGCACATTTTGTCTGATCCTTCAATTGAGATCTGTCAATTCATGGGAGACATTATCGGAGGTATATGTCACCGTTAGCATAGCTTGTAACCTCATTAAAACATAGAAGTATGTAGTAAAGAATTATTAAATTTTAGTACGTTCAATTTTCAAACCATATATGATGTAAAATGTTATCCAAAAAGAGTTTACATTTTTGATGAATTTAAATGAAAAAAAAAAAGTTGAATTTTTAAGTTTACTAAGCTTTGATAAATGTAAGTTTTAAATTTTAATTGCAACTTCGTCAAGAATTTAATTAATATGTTAATAAGCTCAACTAATAAATAGAGCTTAATTAATAGTAATTAATGGTATAGAACGTTTGTCTCATACTAAAATGACAAATTTTATTCACTCTATTTAAAAGATTGACAATTCCCGTTGCTAACTCATTTCTTTTTTATTTAATAAATTTATAGATTTCAAAAATTTAAAATATTTTTCATTTGTACGAAACTAAAGTTTTATTTAAATCAACATTCACTCCTAAATTTCTTATACATTTGATTAATTCTACGATCTAGAAAATTCTTCTAGTCTGATCTACGTCCCTCCTACATATTACTAATGATGATAACATTATCAATTTATTGTCAAACGTTGGTTCGAATACTTTTTGGTCGATATATACAAGCAATTGAAAAGCATTGATAAATAACGAACTCCTCTTTGATCAATAATTTTGAAAATATCTCACTGTAAAAATAAAATTTTCTAATAAATTTCTAATGTTACAGAAAAATTTTGTTTTAAATGCATTTTTTTTTTTTCTTTTATTTTATTCTTTTTACACTTTTCAATTTTCTAATCTTATCTATTTTATGTTATTTGAAATTGTTACTTTAAAAGTAACAATTTCAAATTGTTTCTTTCAAAAAGTATTTTTATGGAAAGTGATAATTTTAAAATTGTTACTTTAAAAAAAATGTTTTTATTTCAAAATTTACATTCCCTCTTCAAATGTGAAAAAATGTATTTCTTGTTTTCTCTAAGGAAGATCTGTATTATCACTGATTGAAATTTCTAAAATTTGATATGTTTTTCTTTCAGTAAATATTATTTGAAAGGTTTTGAAAAAAAAAATATTTGATACTTTTTCAATAAAAGTGTAAAGAAAAAGAATTGTTATTCTTTTTTTTAATAAACATCATTAAAAGATTTCGAAAGAATGTTTAATTATTTTCTCAATAAAAGTATAAAAATTTTTTGAGAAAAAAAGATAATTTATTAT